ATTATTATCTAATTTAGTTTTGGGGAAATTGAACATCACGCCCTATACGTTTCTAATTTTTTGCACTTTACCTCATTTTTTTAAAAAGTGATTGTCGCCCTTCAAAATGTTATTCTTGTTGCACCACGAGATTAGGGTTTTGTTTTACCGTTTTGGGGGTTTTGAGATTTTTGTTTCGTGTGAGGAAGAGTTTATTGCAAATACCACCCATGTGAAATCGCGAATTGGAAAATAATCCCCTGTGAACAAAAAACTCACCCATACCTCCATGTGTAACCTATTTTGAAGCACACTGCACCTATTGACATTTTGTTTGTTGACCAAAGGTCAAAAGACAAAAAAACCCAGATATTTTTTTTGCAATTAGAAAAGCAATAGTGTTTTAACAAAAAAGAATAATAAACATATATCTTAATAATAATAATAATTATAAAAGAAGAAAAAAGAAAAAAAATATATTTAAACAAATTTATTTATTAAAGACAATACACATATATCTTAATAATAAAAAAATAAAAATAAAACATATGTTAAATATAATAATAATTATAAAAAATAAAAAAAATCTTCATCTTCTTCTTCCATGCCCTACCTTCGCCGCCTGGCTCCACCCACAAATCGCTCAACTCAATTCGTCCAAGTCCGAGCCTTATGCCATTGCTCACCACCCAACACTACCACATCTTCAGATCTTCTTCCAATTGAGGCATGCCGCGGCGGAGGTGTGCGACTGGTGGGTGATGATATCGAACAGTAACTATTTAATTCTAAGCGATAAATTCTCACAATTATGTTCAAGCCCACCCTACACAGTCGAATCTGGAGAAGATTAAATAAAATAAACTAAAATATAAAACACAAATAAAAAACAAGAAAAAACAAGAAAACAAATAGCACGAAGATTTATCAACTGAAAAAGCACTAGTATTTTATCTCCACCCTATGTGATTATTGATCTCCCAATTATGTCAATTATGTAAGAAAATAATATGGATTATTAACCTGAGATGCTAATTTAATCATAACCCGCTTCCGCATGTATTACGATTCTATTATTCAAGACTAAATTAGTGTATTCCTACACAATTCAATCAAGAACAAAGCATTAAGCACAAATCTCAATAATAGCTACCTAAGAGGTTAACTATATTCCTATGCTAACACCACAGAGGTTCTTCTACTATATTTCTAATTGTTAAACCGATCTTCATGCATTCAACAATAAAATAAAGCACATAACGTGATCAAGTTCATGCACTTAAGAAAATAAGTAGAAGAAACAATCCGGAATTAATACTTGCATAAAATCATGGAATTGGGTTCACATCCCACATAGGGTTCGAATAAAATCCTAGAAACTAAACACTTAGCTACTCCAAATTCTTATGATAAAGAAAATAAAATTAATAAAAAAACAAAAAAAACTATGCTTGAGTCTTCGATCTTCGTTCTTCGCGTTTTGTTGTGTAAATATTTTCATCGTTGGATCCCATTGAATTATGTTTATATAGTGGTTAAGACTTGATCAAAAGGAAAAACCTTCCTTGTGCAATTAAAACTTCCAAATTGTGCAGAATCGGGGTCTCGAATAGCTGTCTGAGATTTCAGGACATTTTGGGATGGCCGTCTCAATTTTCGTAGCCTACTGCTCAACTTGCATGAGGGGGCGGCCATCCCAGCTTTTAGTACAAAATTGAGCCGGCTGTCCGAAGCTTTGTCCGCACTTTAGTCGGTTTCTAATCCGATTTTCACCATGTTTGAGTCCGAATTTCGGAATGTTGCGTGAAATACAAATTGTAGCCCTTTAAATTATCTTTCCAATGTTGCGTGAATCAGGTGATTTGGAGTTCGTATGAGAGAAATATGCTTGAAACGGTGGACACTGCCAAAGTTGTTGCGGATTCCTTCTTCCAATTTGATTTATTTCCTTATTTTCAACTTTTTCCTTTTTTTTTATCATTGTTCTTCATGGACACTTAATTCTCGTTTTTCACCTATAGAACACAAAATCAATCAATTAAAGCACAAATATAATTAAATCTAAACAAAAGATCAACGTAAAGTAAACATATTGAGTGTAGAATCTACACTCAACGCACCCCCAAACTTGAACTTTTGCTTGTCCTCAAGCAATATCTAGCAACTTGCAAAGTAATAAAATCAATAAATGCATCTCATCACATAGATTAATATGGTCAACTTCACGTTTTCAGAACATGCAATTGTCATGGCACTTCTCGAAAATTCACAAGCTTAAAATTCAAAGAAACTTAATTGCTTACCATTGCCAAGAACCAAAAATCATGTTATCGCTTCAAGCATCCAATATTTGTAATCTAAAAATAGAGAAAATTTATACTTACATAATAATTTAGACTCAAAAGGCTCACCGAATTTCTCTACTCCGCTAATATCGAACAATTGAGCTATAGGGCTCATTGTGACTTTTTGGCTTTCAATTGTTGGCTCTTTGGTGCAAGGTAGGAAATATGTGTATATAAGTGGCAACTCTTCTCCTTCCGATCTTCTCATTGTTGGGAATCAGGCACGTGTACGCAACAGAAAACAAAAAAATTACATGAAATAAATAATTTAATTCACATAAACACATGCTCGATTCATATTAAGCAATTAATTACATACCTTAACGCTTCCAGCGAAAATTAAGAACAACATGCGTATAATTAATTCGATAATAAATCACATAGCATGCTCGCGGTAAATCATGAATTCATACAAACAATTACATATAGCAATTCACGAAAATTCATACTGCGAATATTAACATATAATTTAATCTAATTAAATTAATACCTAATTAAAACCGGATCCGAAAATTACCTCTTGAAGCGTGAGGCAAATTCTTGGATTGAAGCAAACTGCCATGGAAACCAATCTGTGCATTCGGGAGGAGCAATGGCGGTGCAGCGGCGACGGACGCGCTCAACGACGGCGGCGCGTGAGATCTACGCTCAGTCTTCGGGCGGCGCGTGCGGCAGTGCTTCGGTGATGGCTTATCGGCAATTCGACTCCTTGGTCTTTCTCCTCTCGGATTTCACCTCGTATACTGAGATCTACTAAATATGTGGCACTAGACACGCAAAAGTCAGAATAGATGGAAGAAAAAGACAAAGGAAAGAAGCTACCAATAACAATCGGCGCGTGAGGCCGATTCCAGCGACGACGGCAACGGCGGAGGAGGAGAATCGGCCGAGGGTTGTGAGAGAGCGGCTAGGGTTTTCTCTTGTGTGTTGTATATTGTGCAACACCTATAAATTATGTATTTATAGTGTCTTGTATAAAAGACCTAACGAGCTTAAGTTGGACCGGGCCTAACATCTTAAGTTCGTTAGTCTTTTACTCGCTCGTTTCTCACAACTCAATGATCGGAAAATTATAACGATTACATTTTCGGAATCATTGAAACATCCTCATCATTACGAGTGCCAATTCTCGATTTTCAATTTCCAAAATTGGAAACCCTAATTCAGTGGACCTTCTAAATTTGGAAACTTCCCAATTTAAAAACTTCACTTAGATGTTCACCTATTTTTTTCCTTTTCTTGTTCTCATTCATAATTCCAAATTACGAATGTTGGACTCAATCACATTGACTTCCAATCATGCAAAGATTAAATAGTTTTATCTTTGACCGTTTATTCAAAGAACTCGAGTGCACGAGCAGTGTGGCCCTCGATGGTTCAGGTGTAAGCTAGCCGTGGGTCCACAACCCTTTTGTGGTTTAAACTTGTCCCTAGAGTTACGATTAAGATGAAGCTCGTTTCAAGTTAATCACCCAACGAATCAAGATTGGCGTCTAGCAACTATGCGTCATGATTCCTAAGATACAAATGAAGTTCCTGCAAGAATTGTTTGATATAGTTAACGTACAGTACGATCCCTTCGATTCATATGTCCTGATTGATCCAGCCATGCATCAAAGTTAGTGCCGAGCTAAACAAAATTCATCGAAGTTAATGCCGAGCTAAACAAAATGCAAAATCTCATTGTGAATGTTGATGAGATGGCGGTTCCTAGAGACGTGCTTCATTCATTCTATACAAAAGTTTGACGCATTGGAACTTCAGGCTACAAAATACTCACGTTCATATCCACTTCAATGGCTGCTAGATGGTGTGTTCGGCGATGTGGTGCAGAGATGTGTAAGTTCGCTACCAAACAGAGAGATCGATCTTGTTTACCCTCCTTGTGATATTTTCCGGATTAGAGGACGAAT